GTCAGTAACTGGTAGTGCATGATATAAAACAAGTCAGTAACTGGTAGTGAATGATATAAAACAAGTCAGTAACTGGTAGTGAATGATATAAAACAAGTCAGTAACTGGTAGTGAATGGTATAAAAGAACAAGTTGTTAATGTGAAGGGTAAAGGACAATGTTTTATTAGTTTTCATAACCAGTTCACTTATTTAACTACCCTTGGGGCTGAGTCAAGTTGGGGTTTTAGAGTTTTACAAAATCAAAATACTTTTTTAAACATTAAACCCCTACTATTCACATATATTTTAATATTGTGTGCGAGTGTTAAACATGTATAAATTTATACAAATGTTGATTGTGATAATGTAACGCTTGAACACAAGAATCATTTGGTCCTTCTTGGCATCTATATCGTACCCACCCCCCGAAGAAAGAAAGGTACAAACTTTAAACCCACCTTTTATATTTTTCAGCATTTCTTCAAATCTACACTTAACCAAATGTACATTGGGTCAGTCCACTGGACTGACCTTGTATTAGACAAGGAATATTAACCATAATTCTGAATGTACTACGTGTATCGACAAGAAATGTGGCAAGCTTTTAGTAAAAATGTACAAGTCTGTTGTAAACAAAAAAAATCAAATGTGTTACAAAGGTATTTGTTTTCAAAAGTTGTCCATGAATTGACGATGTCGGTCTGATTCAGTCTCTGACAGGTCAGAGTGCAAGGTAATGTTCGTGTGAAGTATAAAAATGTTTTATCGATCTGTCACTAAATCAGTGACATTGGGTAAGACGAACACTTGATAACTCTGACAGCAAAGACACGATACTATATTGACAAGCACTCTGTTGTGGAAAGTGCACCTGGACCCCCCACCCTTGCACCTTGTTAAACTCCAGTAACCTGCTAGCTTTCACTAGAGCAACTCATCTCATAAACTAACCTCTCTGTTAGAAAAATAAAACCGTCTTAACTGAAGCCTAACCAGTCTCTTCTAAATCTTAAACTTGTGTCCTCCCATCCTATTGCTTTCAGAATACAACACAAATAAATATATTAGCTTTTATCCTATTAACCCTATGGGTAATCTTGTAAACTTTAATAAGATCAAATCTAAGCCTTCTTTTCTCAAGATAAAAATAAGTGATTTTAAACTATCTCCAAAAGACAAACCTTACATCCCCAGTATCATCCTAGTGGTCTTCTCCGAACCATTCCAATAAGTTAACATCAGTTCTTAGATATTTATATGGTCCTCCAAGTTAGTTTTTTTTTACAGACAATTACCTCTTGATTTGAAATCAGTAGGTCTATAAATACGTCATCAGATTTACTATGATCAACAAAACTCTGCCCCAATGACTTGAGTGAATTACCCAACACTATATCAAGATCCTTTTTTATCATTCTCTCTGTTTACTGAGTTGACATCTACATTAAACATGAGATCTAAATTAAGATACTCCAAATGCATTACCTTGAATTAACTATAATTAAATGTCAATCGTCAAATAACTGTCCAATCAACTCAAATCATCCTGTAAACACCTTGACATCTTCATACAGCTAGAAATACCCAAGAGTTTCGTGTTTACTAATTGTATCTCTGTCAATAACATTAATGTAAATAAGATAAAAACAAACACTGACTCTTGAAATAATAACTAATAACAAAGGTCCAGTTTAAATTGGAATCTATTAATAACTTCCTTTTAACTTATAACAAAGGTCCAGTTTAAATTGGAATTCATTAATAACTACCTTTTAACTAAGAACAAAGGTCCAGTTTAAATTGGAATCCATTAATAACTACCTTTTAACTAAGAACAAAGGTCCAGTTTAAATCAAATCTATTAATAACTTCCTTTTAACTTATAACAAAGGTCCAGTTTAAATTGGAATTCATTAATAACTACCTTTTAACTAAGAACAAAGGTCCAGTTTAAATCAAATCCATTAATAACTACCTTTTAACTAAGAAAAAAGGTCCAGTTTAAATTGGAATCCATTAATAACTACCTTTTAACTAAGAACAAAGGTCCAGTTTAAATTGGAATCCATTAATAACTACCTTTTAACTAATAACAAAGGTCCAGTTTAAATTGGAATTCATTAATAACTACCTTTTAACTAAGAACAAAGGTCCAGTTTAAATTGGAATCCATTAATAACTACCTTTTAACTAATAACAAATGTCCAGTTTAAATTGGAATTCATTAATAACTACCTTTTAACTAATAACAAATGTCCAGTTTAAATTGGAATCCATTAATAACTACCTTTTAACTAATAACAAAGGTCCAGTTTAAATCAAATCCATTAATAACTACCTTTCAACTAATAACAAAGGTCCAGTTTAAATTGGAATTCATTAATAACTACCTTTTAACTAAGAACAAAGGTCCAGTTTAAATTGGAATCCATTAATAACTACCTTTTAACTAATAACAAAGGTCCAGTTTAAATTGGAATCCATTAATAACTACCTTTTAACTAATAACAAAGGTCCAGTTTAAATTGGAATCTATTAATAACTACCTTTTAACTAATAACAAAGGTCCAGTTTAAATTGGAATTCATTAATAACTACCTTTTAACTAATAACAAATGTCCAGTTTAAATTGGAATCCACTAATAACTATCTTTTGCTTTCATTAGTCACGCTAAAATCCAACCAACTGATCTTTTCCTTATCCCAACCAACATAATTTTTTTAAGGAACTTTTGCAGAAGATACCTCGTCAAAAGCTTTCTGAAAATCCATATACACCAAGTCCACACTTTGTCCATCATTCAGATAAAAACATAACACCCTAGAAACAGTTAACAGAGGAGTAAGGTCCGATTTCCCTTTAGTTCTGTATCATGATTATCGTATTTCAATAAATGACTTTTTTAAAGTTTCTTTTATCAGAAGCAATATAACTTTTCCACTACAGAAATTAGACAGACTTGTCTATTTAGTTACGATGAAAGGAGTAATTAGTGAACAGGATCAAGGATAGTTAGAATCATCTTTTGGAAAAACAGAACATTTAAAAGTTCAACCCTCTTGTTGTCTCGAAAACTAAACTCTTTATTTTAACGACTTGCTTTACTTTAATATACTTACAAAAGTCCTGTTATTTTTTGTAATTATCAACACTTGTTTCTCACAGGCCCTTTTTGACTTCCGAATTTCTATTTTAACCAAATCTGTATCCGTTGGGTTCAAAATTTTAAGAATTTAACCCTCGTATTCTCTTTCATCCTTAGTACGACGTTAAGTTTCATATTCCCTGCTTTCCTTTTCTTGTATAAAAAAAAATTCAAGATCTGTTCACATCATCTGTTAACTCTTTATGGCAATTTAATACAAAATTAGTTTTGTGAAAATTAGGATCTGACATTTTTTCTTGATTTCAACATGTAAATAATGAATTATATTTTGTCCTTGAAAAAAAGTGGTCCAGTTTATTAACAAATATTTCCAAAATTCCTTTTATGTAAAACATATAAATCACAATATCACCAACACATATAAAATGTTCACTTACTTTAAAATCGATCAAATTTGTATTTTTAACTTAATTCAAATGATGAATGACAGTGATCTTATTAGGTCATCTAATTATGAATGAACACCAAAGGTCTGTTCTTAGTATACCTTCGAGTTTGATTTGAAACGTTTAATTTTGTTATTGTCCGATCTAGAAAACTAAACTTCAATAGCTTCATTGTCCTTATCTTGATCTTTCTCACCATCAAAAAATTCATTAGCCGGTTCAGCTTTGGCATCAGCCTCACTCTGGCTGTGAGAATCTAAATTATCGTCTTCATTAGGGTTGTCAAAATTCAGCGTATCCGGAGGCACGTCCTGCATCTGTACGCTCGGAGCATGAATGAGACATTTCAAGTTTTCTGTGGTGGCTTTTATAATTGCTTCAAGATACTGTCTGCTGTTTGCATTCTCCTGCCTCGTTACATTTTCAGGATGTAGTAAGAAATCGGGTGCAAAATATTCAAAATACTCGTTATACGGGATTTCGTTGCTAATTGTTTCTTCGACTAAAAGAGATGTTTCGTAAGTCCAACAACGAGCAACATTTCGTACCGTGTAACCTCCACCTCCGAGGACAAACAATGGCAAACCTAATTCTTTAACAAACTTAACACATTCTCCATGTCCTCTGATGCTAAGATTAAAGCATCCGAGTCTGTCTCCTGCTAACGAGTCAGAACCACACTGTAAAACAATACACGTTGGCTGATAAAACTCTACCACGTGTTGGATCACGGGCTTAAAAACTTGAAAATAACTTTGATCGTCAATACCTTCCTTAAGAGGAACATTAACAGAGTAGTAACGTCCACTCTCAGCCCCTATTTCGTACATATCACCTGTTCCAGGAAAAAAGTAATTTCCATATTTATGAAACGAAACTGTCATAACCCTATCTGTCAAATAAAATGCTTCCTGAACCCCATCACCATGGTGAATATCTATGTCTACGTACAAGACTCGTGGATGATATTTCAGCAATTCTAAAATTGCTATCACAATATCATTCACGTAACAAAAACCAGATGCTTCGAATTTCTTAGCGTGATGTAAACCACCCGACCAGTTAATGGCAATATCACAACACATGTTGTTTAGTTTTACTGCACCTTCTAAAGACGCTCCTGTATACATAGAGCAAAAGTCGTAGAGACCGTCAAACACTGGACAATCATCTCCTACATTAAAATGGCTTAAACTTTTTGTAAAACTCTGAATATTCTGAGGAGTAACTCTCTGAAGAAAATCTATATATTCATCCGAGTGAAAACGACACATGTCATGGGCACTTGCACGGTAAGGTCGGTAAACCTGAACTTTCTTATATAAACCATAATGTAATACAAGGCTATGAGTTACCGATAACCGATGAGGTTTCATTGGATGTCCTGGCCCATAATGAAAATTTCCGACGTCTGGGTCCCAAAAGTATATTACACTTTTCTTTGTCATTTTCCAATGAGATTAACTTGTGTTCATTACCCACGTCAAATCTTCCAAATTTACAATATGGCGAACGGAAATGACGCTTAATGATTTTGGATATGTTAGTACATAAAATGGTCAAGAGAGTGCGCGGCTCAAATTGTTAAAAATAAACAATAAAATATAAAACTGATTATATATATATATATATATATATAACCAGTTTGATATTTTATTTTATTATAATTGTGATATCTATGAAATATAGCGTAAGAAACTGACGTAATCTTATTTTCTTATTGAACCACTACAAATAACATTTTAATAATTTCAGAATATCAGTTTATTTTCTGATGTAAACTGTATTTAAAATATAAATCGCAAGATGAAGGATATGGATATTTTATCAAAATAACATTCAGTAAAATTGATAGTTTTAGCGCAAAGCTACATAATAGATCACCTGCACTCTTGTCCACCAAACTGGGGCACCCCAATAAGGTTAATCGCTCTATATGATATATATAGTAAAATAATAATGGACTCTACTAAATCAGTTGAGCAAAGATATTTATTGCCATCTGGTGGAACATGTTTGAAGAGGTACCTTACTTGCTAGTCTGAACCTGACAATTGCATCTAATACTGAAACGACAACATTTCTAGTGTATGTGTGTGTTTTTTTATTAAATAAATATCCTCTCACCGTATTTGAACTCCAGACCTATCGTATTTTAGTCGAGTATTCTATCAAATGATTTAGATCCAAGAAACGTCTTAATCAGGTATTTTTAACTAATCATCTTCTGCATTCTTACCCCGTCACAAACAAGGCTCAAAACCATGGGACGACCACTAATTGAGCACCAATATGATATTTTCTACGACATATTATTTTGCGCAATATGTGTGTTTCCCGAACTCGAATCCGAACCCGAGATCTCTCTCTTGCTAGATGAGTGCTCTACCGACTGAGCTGAATAGCTGGGCCCCCTATCATTTACTAGTAATATATTTTTAATTACTCGAACTATTATTACAAGTTTTATAACGATACACGACTAAAGTATGACGTCACAATCTCTGAAAGTACACTTACAGTTATATATGTCACCTGTATAATTAATGTGGCAGAGATACAGAAATACATAACATAAACTATTTTAAAACATAACTTTATTTAGGAATGATAAAAACGTGAAAATTGATACATATGGTCGTCGTGAACGTACTCATAGTTTGAATCAAAATTTATAACTGTTTTGGAACGTTAACGAGCTATTGGATTTTAATTTTAATTAATGTCTTCGTTAGTGGTAATTAGACTCATAACAAGAAAATTGGTTAAGATTTTTGAATTCTAAAAAAATCAAGGAATGGAAGAAAGTAATATCAACAAGTGTGATAAATTTCATACTGATATTGAATTTAATAGTGAAGTGGAAACGGAATGAAAACAAACTAGACTTTTAATTTTTAATCACTTACTACAGGTTGATTAGTATAGGTTTTAAGGCAAAAATAAGTTATTTATGTATAAAAGAAGTTAAACTTTCGATTTAGGCTAAATTAAAAAATTTGATTTTTGAAATATTGGAGCGTTTTTTTTCAAGCTTTTTCTCTTGGGAGTGAAGTTATGTTATGTTTTGTAACACTAGATGGCAGCACGTTTGTAACACAAGTACTACCTACTCATAGCCGTTCCTAATTTTGAACTGATAGATTAGACTAGGGGTCACCAAACTTTTTTCACAGCGGGCCAGATAACTGAGAGAGTGACGAGTGCGGGCTGCATAACCATTTTGTTCAATACAATACAGTGAATACACAAAAAATAAAGACAACAAACATGTTTATTTTCCAAAAAGTTATCAAAGAAGGCCACGTTAGCAATAAGATAGTTATATCACACCCAGTGCACACTTATCCGAATCTCACAAATTAAGCAGCAAAAAAGGTTTATGAGATTTGTGAAACTGGCGTTTAGCTTTTGAGATATTACTTTAGAACTGCTA